CTCGATCTCTCGACCTCGTGATCCACCCGCCTCGGCCTCCCAAAGTGCTGGGATTACAGGCTTGAGCCACCGCGCCCGGCCCGAGAAGCATCTTTGTTATAACAGCAAGAGTACCCAGTTGCCTAAGATTCCCGGTTCAGAGCCTTGGTGGAAGATTTAGAGAGAAGACCCATGACAACCCTACAGGAGCCTGCTAGTTAGCCACACTCTGGTCACAGTGCAGAGTCTGCAGTCAGCCCTGCATTCAGTGGAAAAGCATCTAAGACAATGAGACCCACACCACTGCAGAGGGGACTTGTGTTAACTATCAACACAATCAGCTTTGGCAATCATCAGCCATTTGAGAAAAAGGAGTACACATGAAAAGGAAAGGCTGAGAGGAACATATAAGACAGTTCATGCCTGAGGACAGATAACTCACAGGAATATATTTTTTTAATTCTAATAAATATGTGCAAATAAATTTAAATGAGATATTGTACCTATAAAACACAAAAGACTATTATGCAAAAGGACAGTCTGAAAAATACATACTGGAAATTAAAAATAAGTACCAAAATAAAAAATCTTATGAATGGACTAAATATTAGGAATTGGGTTTATGGTCAAAATTAGTAACACAGGAGAAAAGGTGGAAGAAATCTCCTATAACATCAATCAAAAAGACAAAAAGCTTAGAAGAGGCACAGAAGATACATCTGGAAAGTCTCCACATAGTTCTACTAAATTTCCAAAATACAGAACTGAATTGGATAAAGAAGATTTTTAAAGAATGAAGAAAAAAGTATAATTATTAAATTATAATTAAATTGTTTCATCTATAGAGCCATAATTGCTTATATTTAAATAATCCAATATATACTCCAGCAAGAGAAATAATAATTTGGCAGCTAACATTTATTTTATTGTTATTATTATTATTATTATTATTTTTTGAGACAGAGTCTCACTCTGTCACCAGGCTGCAGTGCAGTGGTGCAATCTCAGCTCACTGCAAACTTTGCCTCCCTGGTTCAAGCAATTCTGCCTCAGCCTCCCGAGTAGCTGGGACTACAGGTACACACCACCATGCCCAGCTAATTTTTGTATTTTTAGTAGAGACCGGGTTTCACCATGTTGGCAAGATAGTCTTGATCTCTTGACCTCATGATCCACCCACCTTAGCCTTCCAAAGTGCTGGGATTACAGGAGTCAGCCATTGTGCCCACCTCCACAACTAACATTTATTAAGCACTTGCCATCTGAAATGCTGATTAAATATTAACTCACACAATGCTCATAAAAACTCCATTTGTTCCATTATATATGTGAGGAGGCACAGAGGGGTTCAGTAGCTTGTCCAAGGTATAAGCAAGTATATTGTATGGTAGTGCTCGGATCAGAAACCAAGCAATATGACTCCAGAGCCCATGGTCAAATTTAGATACATCCAGAATTCCAAAAATAAAGAGAAAATTCTTAAAAATTTCAAAACAAGAAGAAAAGAAAGAATTTAAAACAGGACAAGAATCAGACTACCATATTTATTAGCAAACTTGGATGATAGAAGATATTAAGGTAATGAGTTCATTTAAAGTCCTGAAAAAAATGACTTTGCAACTATAATTCTATACACCCACACTACTGAATTATGATGGAAAAATACTTTTCACAAAGTATTTTCTACTCACATATAGTTACACATCATGATCAATACCAACCGCATGACCATTACCTACAGCAACGAAAGCAAAAAGGAAATCAGTGGCGAATCCCCTGGACCTTGATTCTTGTGATAGCTTCCTTCAAGTAGCAAATGCTCAGACACAGAGCACTGCATTTCCTTCTCCATAAGTCCAATCGTACCATTTGGTGTATAATCAAGAATCAATACACTCACAAAACCATAATTATAATGCTTTAAGATTGGAATAAAATTTTTTTTAAAAATCAACATAAGAGGCTAGACACAGTAGCTCACACCTGTAATCCCAGCACTTTGGAAGGCTGAGGTGGGAGTATCTCTTGAGGTCAGAAGTTTGAGATCAGCCTGAGCAATGTAGTAGGACCCTGTCTCAACAAAGAAATTAAAAATTAGTTGGACGTTGGGGGCTGAAGCAGAGGATCACTTGAGCCCAAGAGTTCAAGGTTGCAGTGAGCTGTGATCATGCTATTATACTACAGCCTGGGTGACAGAGTAAGACTCTGTCTCGAAAAAAAAAAAAAAAAAAATCTGGGCCAGGCATAGTGGCTCACACCTCTAATCCCAACACTTTGGGGGTCAAGGCCAGAGGATTGCTTGAGCCTAGAAGTCTGAGTCCAGCTTGGGCAACATGACAAGAAAAACTTAAACATTAGCCTGGTATGGTGGTAGGTGTCTATGGTCCTAGCTAGTGAGGAGACTGAGGTGGGAGGATCACTTGAGTCTAAAAGGTCAAGGCTGCACAGTGAGCTATGTTTGTACCACTGCACTCCAGCCTGGAAAACAGAGCAATACTCTGTCTCCAAAAGAAAAAAAAACATACAGACAAAACATACATGACAAAAATAACCCAACAGAACACAGAATAACAATCCCCAAGAATTGAAAAATAACATAAAAATGGAAGGGGAGATGACAGGTACGCTGATTTCTTCCTCAGTCATAATGCGGAATCAGCAGATTCTATCTGAAAAGTTGGCAAATCAAGAGATAGACATATTAAAAAAATGTAAATATTTAAAGTTATAAACCAATAGAATAATAACTAAAAAAGAAATAGCTAAAAATGAACTGAGAATTGAGGAAGAATTTATATCTTTCATTTAAAATCCTTCTGAGTAAACTGAATTTTTTTATTATATGCAGTACTAAAATTTTTAATATGCAGTTTAAAAATAAAATATTAATTAAAGGACACTTTCAAAAATAGAAGATTGGTTAAATAAGTTGTAGCACTTCTATTTAAACAAATGACATATGGCTTTTGGAATGAATGAGCTGGATTCACAAATATTGGCATGCAGAGTTGATCAAGCTGCTATGTTTAGAGGGAAAAAGGTATAAAGCAATGAAGACTGGATGATCCCACTTATGTCGAAGTATATTTATGTTTACGCACAGAAAGAGGTTTAGAAGGTACAAATTGTTGAGATTGGAAGGCAAGCAAGAGGAAAAGAAAGCTGTTGTTTTTTACTTTCCATTTCTATATTACTTATATTTTTTATAATGAGTGGTATTATTTGTATAATTAAAACAATTAGTAACAGTGACATAGTTTTAAAAAGCAAAACATACTTTGCTACTACTGACCATAGATTTGGTCCAGGTGTTACATCTAATTCCTGCAGAGTGTGGTAATTCCATCACTATTTAAAGCAAACATAAAGGACCTCTTTCTCAAATTATTCAAACACCAGTACAAGCCTCAGTGTAACAAAATACTGACAGTGTACTACTGTGACTAATAGTCTGCCAATTAATGGTTTCATTATAACATGCCCTTAATCAGTAATAGACATTAATGAGATAGGTCATGAGGGCCATATAAAGAAAGGACTACCAACTTTAAAGAGAAATGTTTCAGCTCACAAAGGAGCAGTAATCTCTACAATGGTAACAGTTATGGTATTTTGGGTCTTGCTCCCTCCATAATTAACCATGATAAAAATCCCCATTCCTTCAAAGCATGCATACAACTACAGTATCAAGAACAAATGTTCTAAAGCTGGAGGAACCACATTATCATACTTCAAACTATACTACAAGGCCACAGAAACCAAAACAGCATGCTACTGGTACAAAAACAGACACACAGACCAATGGAACAGAATAGAGAGCCTAGGTCACACACCTACAACCATCCAATGGGGAAAGGACTCCTTATTAAATAAATGGTGCTGGGAAAACTGGCTAACCACATGCAAAAGACTCAAACTGTACCCTTTTCTTACCACATATACAAAAATCAACCTAAGATGGATTAAAGACTTAAATGTAGAACCAAAAACTATAAAACACCTGGAAGAATACCTAGAAAATACCATTCTGGATATAGGGAATGGCAAAGATTCCATGATAAAGATGCCAAAAGCAATTGCAATGAAAACAAAAATTGACAAATGGGACCAAATTAAATGAAACAGCTTTTGCACCACAAAACAATCAATAGAGTAAACAGACAACCTACAGAATGAGAGAAAATATTTGCAAATGCATCTGACAAAGGTCTGATATCCAGAATCCATAAGGAACTTAAACAAAAAACAACCCCCTTAAAAAGGAGGCAAAGGACATGAACAGTCACTTTTCAAAAGAAGACATATGCACAGCCAACATGCATATAAAAAATGCTTAACATCCCTAATCATTAGAGAAATACAAATCAAAACCACAATGAGAAACCATCTCACAACAGTCAGAATAGTTATTATCAAAAAGTCACAAAATAACATACTACAGGTTGTGGGGAAAAGGGAATACTTATATACTGCTAGTAGGAATGTAAATTAGTTCAGACATTGTAGAAAGCAGCTTGGCAATTTTTTCAAAGAGCTTAAATCAGAACTACCATTAGACTCAGCAATTCCATTACTGTGCATAAACCCAAAGGATTATAAATCATTCTACCATAAAGACACGTGTGTGTGTGTTCATTACGGCACTATTCACAATAGCAAAGGCATGAACTCAACCCAAATTCCCATCAACAGCAGATTAAATAAAGAAAATAGGGCAGGCCAGGCGCAGTGGCTCATGCCTGTAATCCCAACACTTTGCAAGTCTGAGGCAGGTGAATCACCTGGGGCCAGGAGTTCGAGACCAGACTGGCCAACAATGGTAAAATCCTGTCTTTACTAAAAATACAAATATTAGCCAGGCATGGTGGTATGTGCCTGTAGTCCCAGCTACTAGGGAGGCTGAGGCAGGAGAATCGCTTGAACCTGAGAGGTGGAAGTTGCAGTGAGCCAAGACTGCGCCATCACACTCCAGCCTGGGTGACAGAGAGCGACTCCGTCTTAAAAAAAAAAAAAAGGAGAGACTTCTGCAGACATGGCTCCCAGTGTGCCAGCGGCAGAACCCGAGTACCCTAAAGGCATCCAGGCCATGCTGCTGGGGCCTCCCGGGACTGGTAAAGGCACCCAGGCACCCAAATTGGCTGAAAACTTCTGTGTCTGCCATTTGGCTACTGGGGATATGCTGAGGGCCATGGTGGCTTCTGGCTCAGAGCTGGGAAAAAAGCTGAAGGCAACTATGGATGCTGGGAAACTGATGAGTGATGAAATGCTAGTGGAACTCATTGAGAAGAATTTGGAGACCCTTTCATGCAAAAATGATTTTCTTCTGGATGGCTTCCCTCGGACTGTGAGGCAGGCAGAAATGCTTGATGACCTCATGGAGAAGAGGAAAAAGAAGCTTGATTCTGTGACTGAGTTCAGCATCCCAGACTCTCTGCTGATCCGAAGAATCACAGGAAAGCTGATTCACCCCAAGAGTGGCTGTTCTTACCATGAGGAGTTCAACCCTCCAAAGGAGCCCATGAAAGATGACATCAACAGGGAATCCTTGATTCGTCGATCAGATGATAATGAGAAGGCCTTGAAAATCCGCCTGCAAGCCTACCACACTCAAACCACCCCACTCATAGAGTACTATAGGAAACGCGGGATCCACTCTGCTATCGATGCATCCCAGACTCCTGATGTCAGGTTCGCGTGCATCCTAGCAGACTTCTCCAAAGCCACATCCTAGTATCAGAAGGCCAGGTGAGACTGCACCACTGCTCATCACCCTGCGGCATGATCCCGGCTCTTAGGTGCTGGGCAGAAGGGAAGGGTGGTCAGGGAGGGCTGGTGAGGGGCTCAAAAGGAATACATGGAAGAACAGCAATGTTACTGTAGTGAGGCAGTTTCTTTTATACACAAGTAGGAGTTTTTAAAGTGTAAGGGAAAAATTAATTTTTTTAAAAACACCATGCTTGGAGGGTGGGGGTAGAAATAGAGAGATACAGTATTATTTCTAAGGAATCGGGTTCTCATTTACTCTGGACGGTGACAGTATTTTTGAAAGCCAGTGCTCTAAGACCTCAGCTTTTATCTCAGAACCCCATGGGTTCCAGACCAAAAGTACAGGAAATCAAATTATTGTCCTGTCTGTCCTATAGCTTGGAACAGGGAGGCTTTGACTACTGACCCTGGTTTCACACACTGCAAGATCAAAAAACCATCTCCACATTTGAAAGAGATATAAGGTGTCTTCATAGTGATGGTGGATCAACAAATCAAGCTTACTGGAATCAAGGGGAGGGGGAAGGGAATGGAATGGAATGGAAAGGGAGGCTGACTCCCTTCCCCTGACCTACCACTGATTCACCAGGCTACCTACTCTCATAAGTAACCTCTCCCAGCTACCCAGTACATGTCACAATCCTATGCTCTTGCCTTATCTGCAGTGTGTGAAGGGACCCTTTTAAATAAATGAGCAAATGTCCCAAGCTATATCATCGAAAGATTGTCCTTTCCATTCTCAAATCCTGTGACTGGGATCACTCAACAGCACTGTGATGTATTATTTTCAATGAGGTGCCTTTCTTTTTTTTTTTTTTTTTTGAGATGGAGTTTCGCTCTTGTTACCCAGGCTGGAGTGCAATGGAGCGATCTCGGCTCACCGCAACCTCTGCCTCCTGGGTTCAGGCAATTCTCCTGCCTCAGCCTCCTGAGTAGCTGGGATTACAGGCACATGCCACCATGCCCAGCTAATTTTTTGTATTTTTAGTAGAGACGGGGTTTCACCATGTTGACCAGGATGGTCTCGATCTCTTGACCTTGTGAGCCACCCGCCTCGGCATCCCAAAGTGCTGGGATTATAGGCGTGAGCCACCGTGCCCGGCCGAGATGCCTTTCTTAACTGATAAAATGCTGCCTTGTTTGGCCTTAAGTCAACAAAATATGTTAAAATTTGTAAAAAAAAAAAAAAAAAAAATTAGCTGGGCATGGTGGTTCGTGCCTGTAATCCCAGCTACTCAGCAGGCTGAGGCAGGAGAATTGCCTGAACCCAGGAGGCGGAGGTTGTGGTGAGCCGAGATCGCGCCATTGCACTCCAGCCTGGGTAACAAGAGTGAAACTCTGTCAAAAAAAAAAGAAAAAAAAAGAAAAAGAAAAGAAAGAAAAGAAAAGAAAAAGAAAATGGAGTGCATATATACCATGGAATACTACGCAATCATAAAAAAGAACAAGAACATGTTCTTTGCAGCAACAGAGATGGAGCCAGAGGCCATTAACTTAAGCAAACTAAAACTGCAGAAAACCAAATAGTGCATACTCTCTTTATAACTGGGAGCTAAACGGGTACACATGGACACAAAGAAGGGAAAAGCAGACTGGGGCCTACTTGAGGGTGGAGGGTGGGAGAAGCATAAGGACTGAAAAATTACCTACTGGGTACTATGCTTATAACCTCAGTGACAAAATAATCTGTACACCAAAACCTGAGACACACACAATTTACCTATATAACAAACTTGTACATGCCTAAGATAAAAGTCAAAGAAAGAACAAATATTCTAAGAAGAAAAACGTCATTTAAAAATTGTGAAATCTGACTTAATTACCACAGTTAAGAAAGTCAAACTGCAGAATAAACAGACTCTAGTGACAGTAATCTGCAGTAATGTCAAATTTCAATTCAATGCAATGTCCTCCCAGAAATTCAAGGAGGAAGCAAAATATTCCTGTTGGGCAAACATCTTCAGAGGCACAACTGCTTAGATAGAAACGGACCTTCACAACTTAAATTAACAGGTATAAGAGATAACCAAGTAATTAAAATTCATTATCAAGATTATTTCAGTAATAAACATAGAAAAATCTAACACTGACCTCCAAAGACTGAACTGAGTTTGTCTAACACCAAGTGAAAGGAGCTTAATATGAAAGAATACAATGGCAAATCTGGTTTGCACAATTTTTTTTCAAAAATGTTTTGGTTTGGACATAAATAAGATGGTCCCTTTGAATGCATGTAGTTTCCATTAATTTACTTCACATTCAGATTATAAAATGTTTTAGCCCCTTTGTGTTGCTGTAATAGAATATTAGGATTGGGTTACCCATAATGAGCACAGATTTTATTTCTCACAGTTCTGGAGATGGGACATCTAAGATGGAAGGGGCTGCATCTGGAAAAGGCCTTCTTGCTGCATCATCCCATGGCAGACGCACAAGAGGCCACGGGAGAGCAAGAGAGACAGAGGGAAGGAAGCCAAACTCACTCTTTTATCAGGAACCCACTCCTGAAACACTGGCATTAATCCATTAATGAGGGCAGAGCCCTCATGACCTAATCACCTCTTAAAGATGCCACTTCTCAATATTGTTGCATTGGGGATTAAATTTCCCACACATGAACTTTGGGGGATGCAATACTACAGCATATAAAAGAAAAGGATGTGATTTTATGATAAAATGTTAAATATAAGAATTTGAGGCTGGGTGCGGTGTCTCATGCCTGTAATCCCAACACCGTGGGAGGCAGAGGAAGGTGGATAGCTTAAGCCCAGGAGCTCAGGACCAGCCTGGGTAATGTGGTGAAACCTTGTCTCTATGAAAAATACAAAAACCAGACAGACATGGTGGTGCACACCTGTAGCTGCAGTTATTTGAGAGGCTAAACAGGAGAATGGTGTGAGCCCAGGAGGCAGAGGATGCAGTCCCGAGATCATGCTATTGCACTCCAGCCTGGGTGACAAAGTAAGACTCTGTCTCACGAGAAATAAAACTTAGATCAGATGGGGAAGGAAAGGCTGAATAACGATAGAGAACACTATTTTATACTCCACTGGTAGAAAAGCAGGGTACAAATGATTGCTGAAATATATAATCTTATTTGATTTCAAGCAGCTTCTGAATCACAGACATTGAAATAGTTTCCATAAACATTACTTTCTTGATTGTCACTAACATCACCACTGCCTTGAACACGCAATAAAAAGAAAAAAAACTCCAGCCTAAAATAATTTCAGAAGACAGGATGTTTTTAATAGACTGTCCACAACTTGGAGTTCCTTCTTCTGTGGATCTTATAATCATGGTTTATTTACCTTTAGGTGTAATGAAACATTTTCTTTTCAAGTTTGGTATGTTTCACTTAGAGATCCCTTCCAAATCCGCCATTCCTTAGGACTTGCCGTTGAAGCCTTCAGTGTAACTGCCTACACACACTGTGTAAGTGTGTGTAGTCCAGACTGTCACTAACTAGCCAGACAAACTGGGGCAAGTTGCCTGACTTCATCACACCTGCATTTCCTTAAAACATACTAGAACAAGATTAAACTTTTCCCTAAGGGTCCTTTCTAGCTTATTTTTCCTCAGGTCTTTTTTTTTTTTTTTTTTTTTTTTTTAGATGAAGTCTCACTCTGTCACCTAGGCTGGAATGCAGTGACACGATCTTGGCTCACTACAACCTCTGCCTCCTGCGTTCAAGCGATTCTCCTGCCTCAGTCTCTTGAGTAGCTGGGATTACAGGTGCCTGCCACCATGCCCCACTAATTTTTGTATTTTTAGAAGAGACAATGTTTCACGATGTTGGCCAGGCTGGTCTCAAACTCCTGACCTCACGTGATTCACCCATCTCTGCACCCCAAAGTGCTGGAATTACAGGCATGAGGCACCGTGCCCAGCCTTTTCCTCAAGTTTTAACAGTTTATCATTTTATCACTTTACAGTGCCATAGAAGGGAACAGATTTTCATAGAAACTAAACATAATTTTTTAAAAACACAACATTGTCTTAATATATACATGTAATTTTAAAATCATTTTCCTCTTATTCTTCAGGGATGCAGTAACTTCAACAAACAAAGTTATATCAAATTCTGAATCAGAGGAATTGGCAGAAGTTCAGATTATGAGCTAAATGCCGCAACATTGACAGAAACTTAGACAAATTGTACATTCATGCTGTCACATGGTCTGACTAGTTTCCAAAATTTCTTGGTTGGGGAAGTAAAGAGAATTTTCTACAGTACCACCCTGTGGAGGCAGAAATAACAACTCTCCAATTCTGTTCTACAGGTAGTGAGCTATGCAACTCTCTTGATAAAGCAGCATTTGAATGACAAAATGAACAGACCCCAAATGTAGTAAGGCCAATGCAAAGGTAAAATGCCAGAGCACAGCAATTTGACTTTTCTTTTTTGTGAGACAGAGTCTCACTCTGTTGCCCAGGAGGCTGGAGAGCAGTGGCACAATCTTGGCTCATTGCAACCTCGGCCTCACAGGTTCAAGTGATTCTCCTGCCTCAGCCTCTTGAGTAACTGAGATTATAGGTGCCCACCACCACACCTGGCTAATTGTTTTGTATTTTTACTAGAGACAGGGTTTCACCATGTTAGCCAGGCTGGTTTCGAACTCCTGACCTCAACTGATCCACCTGCCCCGGCCTCCCAAAGTGATAGAGTTACAGGCATCAGCCATCGCACCCCGCCTAGACTCTTCTTTTAAATTTATGTTTTCCACTCAAAAAACATGCCTTTTGTTTGATATCTTAAAACATAATCTTCACAAATGCAGATTTGGGATTGAAAAGATACATACAGGCCAGGCATGGTGGTTCATGCCTGTAACCCAAGCATGGGAGGCAGATCACGTGAGGTCAGGAGTTCAAGACCAGCCTGGCCAACATGGTAAAACCTGTCTCTACTAAAATACCAAAATTAGCCGTGTGTGGTGGCATGTGCCTGTAATCCCAACTACTTGGGAGGCTGAAGTAGGAGAATCACTTGAACCTGAAAGGCAGAGGCTGCAGTGAATC